AGCTTTAATAAAGCCAAACGATCACCACTTCATTTTTCTTTCGTTGGCTGCTGCAGCTTGTCGTTGTCAATAAGAAAGCGACGGCAAACAATTTAAATTTGAATTTAAATTAGGCAGCAAAAACAAAAAAACAAGAAAAGGGGTTAGGATTTGCATTTTGCTAGCCAATGCTATTTATTTTCAAATATTAATTTTACGCTTTTCCCCTTTCTTTCAGGTATGTACCGTGCTTAACCCATTAGCTGCAGCTGTGATTAATTAAGGCACAAGACCGCCGAGGTATCTCATTGTGAGTTCAATAACAATGCATTGAATACAAAAAGCGAACCAAAAATACCGGACCCCACTGACAGTTTGCATTTAAATGTCAATCAGCACCACACAAACACGCACAATGGAAGAAATACTGACAGGGACATTTAAAGATATTCGTATAGATTTATTTAGTTGAGGAGTGCGGGTGGTTTTCATTTTCATTTTCGGTGGCAAGGTAATGGCAACGGCGGTGGTGGTTTCATTAAGTCAGCCGCTTAATGCGATTTTGACAAATAAATTCATCAACACTTCCGCTGACAACTGGCAGATGGGGCAGGCTGCCACACAACAGCAACTACTGCGAATCCAAGTGCAACAGAAATTGCAGTTGCAACAGAAATCGCAACTGCAGCAGCAACATCATTCGCAAGTGCACAGGAAAAAAGTCGATTAGGTATTAAACCAGATTTTATTACAACCAATAATTAATATTTTCGGAGTTCCAATAAGTTCCAATATCCCCTTCCCCCTTCCCCCTTCCCAAACCCCTTCCGAGCCCCTTTGCCGCCGCCTGTGGCAGCACCATTAAAAATGCAAGTTGTTCGGCCAGTTGGCTGCGATGGGCTGTTGGCTGTTGGCTGGCCAAGGAGCTTGGCCACGTTTCGTTAGCCCGTTTCGCTTTTACTTAACATTTGAAGCCTTTGCGCCGCTAATTGGCTGAAAATACCAAAAATGGCAATGCATGACGACTCCGTTGGCCAAAGGAGCAAAGGAGATTACGTGGTGGGAATGGGGGAAAGGTATGCCATGTCCATAGGAATCGCACTTGGGTCGATGGTTGGTCCTACGCTACGATATCCTGGTCTATAATAGTGGTACAAACATCTGAAATTGGTGATAAATCCATGAAGAATTTGTTATATTTTACATGCCTTAAAAATAATAATAAATATATTTTATAGTTCTCTAAAACTTCAAGAAAAACTGATAAGAACTTTTCCCAAAAAATAACAATGGCTTTGAACAGTTAGAAAAATCAAAGTGCGTGGTACGCATTCTTCCCCAGGGACTGTGACTCAATAGAAGGGGAAATATAAAGAATATTTTGTCATTACTCAAACGCACAATTAAACAGAATAATAAGGGCCGTCAGCGATCTATGGATAAGCCATCATCCCCGGGGACTGGCAACCAATTCACAGATCGCCTTTAATGAGCAGCGTATCGTGTCCCTAAAGGGTTTTTATCCGCTCCTAATTGACAGTTGCCATTTCTGGTGGGCGTTACGCTATATATGCACAATGTGTGTACTATAAATAAATAATATTTATTCGCCTTTATCGGTTGCGTGGGCAGCAGCACCCAAAGCGAAAGAAAAAACCGTGGGTGCAAAGCTCAAAGCTGGCAACATTATTCTGGAAAAACCCGAAACTGGCAAATCGCAGGGCGTGCATCTGCGGCATGCAACTTCGATGGGCCATCCGACGATCAGTGTTGCCCCAAAAAGGTGTCCTCTCCCTCAATTGTATATATTTTATTAGCACTTTTCACCACTAGCACTTCGACTGGCGTTATCTTATCCATGACCAAAATATCGAGCCCTTCAAGGGGCATTATCTAGAGATATTGCCACATTCCATATTACTTATAAATGAGGGTTTTACAGAAAACATGTATTGTGGTATGGGAAAAGGGACAATTTTCTTATAATTATAGATTTTTCAAATATTTTATTGGTATTTTTTATTTTTATTTACCTATTCTCAATAATACATTTCTCCATTTGTTTAAAATTTTAAAACATATGGTAATCGTAATATTTCCTTATATGTGAAGATCTTAAAATGATTTGTTTATTCTAAATATTAAACCAATTACTTTTATTTAACTATTTTCAATAACACAGTTTTTTATTTGCTAAAACATTTTGGTAAACAACATTTTTTTAAATATAGCTTTAATAAAGCCAAACGATCACCACTTCATTTTTCTTTCGTTGGCTGCTGCAGCTTGTCGTTGTCAATAAGAAAGCGACGGCAAACAATTTAAATTTGAATTTAAATTAGGCAGCAAAAACAAAAAAACAAGAAAAGGGGTTAGGATTTGCATTTTGCTAGCCAATGCTATTTATTTTCAAATATTAATTTTACGCTTTTCCCCTTTCTTTCAGGTATGTACCGTGCTTAACCCATTAGCTGCAGCTGTGATTAATTAAGGCACAAGACCGCCGAGGTATCTCATTGTGAGTTCAATAACAATGCATTGAATACAAAAAGCGAACCAAAAATACCGGACCCCACTGACAGTTTGCATTTAAATGTCAATCAGCACCACACAAACACGCACAATGGAAGAAATACTGACAGGGACATTTAAAGATATTCGTATAGATTTATTTAGTTGAGGAGTGCGGGTGGTTTTCATTTTCATTTTCGGTGGCAAGGTAATGGCAACGGCGGTGGTGGTTTCATTAAGTCAGCCGCTTAATGCGATTTTGACAAATAAATTCATCAACACTTCCGCTGACAACTGGCAGATGGGGCAGGCTGCCACACAACAGCAACTACTGCGAATCCAAGTGCAACAGAAATTGCAGTTGCAACAGAAATCGCAACTGCAGCAGCAACATCATTCGCAAGTGCACAGGAAAAAAGTCGATTAGGTATTAAACCAGATTTTATTACAACCAATAATTAATATTTTCGGAGTTCCAATAAGTTCCAATATCTTGAAACCGATAATACATTTTTTTTAAATACTTTTTGTAAAAAAAAAATTTTTTTTACTTCCCACTTAATTTTTTCTCACTGTCTAGCTTCTGCAAAATGTTAACAACGGCAGCAACAGCCAAACGCATTTGAAATTCAAATTTGAGCACATTTAACGAGCATTCGCTTGGACAGGATTGCTGTTGTAGTTGCGTTTGAGTGGTTTTACTGTACCGATGGTTCGAGGGGGGGCGGTTCCACTGTTGCTGTTGTTGTTTTTCGCCTGCCATGTCGACGCTCATCAGGCTGACAGCTCTGGCAGAGCGATAAATTTGCCAGGCACCCACTGCATACCTCATACTCCACAGTGCACCACCAAGTCATTCAGCACCACCGTGCTAAGGCAAAAGAAAAAGCACTCAAATTCGCTGGAAGTTCGGCGGCTCAAGAATTCGCCAAGTTAATTGAGCATGCAAAGAGATCAGATTCCACGACCGAAACACGAACAGAAAATATTTATTTACTTTAAAAGAATTCTAAATATTATTGGATTAATACCAAAATGTTTAAGGTCCATTGAAAAATATGTTTTATATTTTTTTTTCTCTAGAGATCATTTATTAAAAATCCCTTAAGCATTGAACAATTTTATTATGTTTTATTTATATAGTTTAATAAATAGTTCCTAAAGTTAGGATTCCAAATTTCAAAATCAGTCTCTTTTTGTCTTTTTAATGTGAAATTTCTTCAATTCGAATGTAGAACTCAAATAACACTAATTTTTTTCTCTGCTGAGCTATAGCTGTTCCCTGTGATCCGCTGAAGTTCCTAATGCCCCCAATTCGCAGAGTCAACAGAAATATATAGCAAAACGTGACAATGCGGAAGAGCGAGAGGGAGAGGGAGGAATAGGGGCTGCCATAGGAGCAAGGGAGATGACAGGTTTCTGGGCATAGGGCGTGCTAAACTAACGGCGATATTTGAATATCAGAATGCCTGTTTTTTCGAGTATTCCAGCATTTCAATATCCGTGTGGGCGAATCTCGGATAAGCCAGGCGATCACAGTCACCCATAAAAGTCAGCGGACCTAATGAACTTGCAAATGTTTATGGCTGGTTGAAAGGAAGTAGGGGGGCTGTCGGAATTTCCATTGATTTCCAAAGCTGGCGAATTTGTAAGAATACGCTTTGATTCTAGATTCAAAGCTTATCGCTAAGCCCACACTTACATATTTTATAGCCTAAGTTCTGAATAAAAATTCTCCAAGTTGAGATAAGGCCATGAATGACAGTTTTCTGTTGAATAAAATAGGTTTGATTTTTTATATTTTATATAGTAAATATAATTAAAACTTTAATTCGTAAATATTTATTATCGTATTGTAATAATTATTTATAATATTTACAACAAATTTAATTTGATAATTTTACGAAACCCTCTACAATTACTGAATCAAATCCTCTTGTTTGTTAGTTTTCCAAATGGAGGGCAAGTTTTGAAGATCGGCTACATCGGAGGCTTTTGTGAAACAACTGCAAACCAAAACCAAATCGAATTCAAAATTGATTGCCTCCTCCGGATGCAATGAATTTCCAATGATCGCAGCAACAATAAACGAAGGGCCCTCAAAAATAAACAGCTCCGAAGGCCTAGTAATAAGTACACTTGAGCATTCCATCCATAAAATGAGGCGATGCGGATTAGAGTTCAATCGCGATGGACATAACAATTATGATTACTCCAAATCCAATGGAATTATTTGTTTGCCTTTCACCCACTGATAGTGGCTATCGGGAAATAAAAATGGGAAAAGCTAGTGCCGTATGGCCCCCAAATGTTTGACCCACTTACAGCCCAAAAAAAAAAGGGGAGAGCAGGAAGTATCTGGGATGCTATTTACAGTGTCTATTCCACAGATGTTGCCCTAGCCCTACTCCATTTTCGATGGTCCAGTACCATAAAATAATATCATGTGGTTTTAAGTTTTTAGTTATCTCTTAAATGCAAAAGCCTTTTCGATTAATATATCTTATCATTCATCATAAGGTAGATTTAAAAAATGAGGTAATTTTGGTGTTTTGCTCGATTATCGAGAGAAATATCTAAATAACATATCTACCAGTGTTTCTTATTTGTTCGAGGTTGAGTTCTGTGTTTGAACAGCTGCCAACTCTCAGGGAACTTTACCTTTCTCACTCTTATTATCTTCCCTCTCTCTCTCTCTCTCTTCCGCTTATTTCGATATCGTTTTGGGTTTCTTTTGGCACTTCCGATAAGAGAAATCAAAATAAACGCTGATAAACACTCGGTTATCCTACAAATATATCCAGAAAACATACAAATATATTTAAAATCTTTTCGTAAAAAAAAATATTTATAAATCGTTGTATAAGCGAAGAAATGATTGCGAAATTGAATTGTTTACTTTGGAATTTAATTTCCATTTATCAGCCGCGTGTTATTTTCATGGGATTTTAAATTGAAATTTGTTTATTTAATTACACAAATAGCCTTTGAATAGATGACATAAATTTGGGAAAATAACTTAGCCGGCGTGGAAAAGTCAATCAGCCACAAAATTCTCACATTCTCGGCAGAAACAATAACAAAATGTCGGAGGAGAGTTCTCAGAGCGGAAGCGGAAGTGAGGGCGGCGAGGGACCGGAAGAGGATGTGGAGCAGGCCAGGATGAGGGACTCCTCGGAGGATCTGAGAAGCAACGAGTGGCTGAGCCTGCACGACTTTCCATCCGGCTCGGAGGACCACTTGCTAGCCATTTTCTCGCGTTTCTGCTCGATGTCAGCGTATCGCAAAAGGAAAGGGGGCTTGGAGCTGCTATTCGCATCGTCGGAGCACCTGCAGCATGGCATCCTGATGGCCAAGCGTCTGGTGGTCGGCAACCTGCAGATCCGCTGGCACTTGGGTCGCCTGGAGGACGACCCATCTGCCCAACCTCCGCCGGCAAAGGAAAGGAATTCGGCCGGCGGCCTCAGTGTTTTTAGCAAATTGCGAAGGGCATTCGTCAACTACTTTCAGTAATTACATTTGAGTTTCTGTTCAGATGAGTTCATATATATTTCTTTAATGTCAAATAAAATGGCAAAAAATATTAGATAATTTTTTATGGCCTTATTCATTGGTATTTTATTTGGACATCAGCAGGCCATTGACTCATTGAAAATTTGAACAGTGACAACATCAATAAAGCTTCAGCCATTCATAGAAAATGATAATGATAATGAACAATGAAATCATTTCTTCTCTACGCAAAAAGTTTATAATTTCCTTCAAATAATTTTATAAATTTAAAATGTTCGTTTTAATTTAATATTGAAAAACCTTGTAAGCTTCTTGATAATATAATTCTTGTATTTCCTGACCCTGAGCTATAAACTAGAGATTTCTAGGCACATAAGCGCAGATCCCCATGGGAAAGTTGGTCCCTTTGGTGGAATAAAAACGAATCCCTTACAATTGCCAGAGTCAAGGGCAGAAAATTAATTGTGATTTCCACCCACATAATGCATTTAAATTAATGCGACCAAGAGTCAACACAACTTATTCACCATTTAATATGGAAATTTAAAACCCAGACAACATGTTGCTGATCACATAAAAGTCTTGCTAACCCAACTGCCACCCCCTGCAGGCGCCCACATGAGGCCGAAATTAAATGGAAATTTTGTCAGTGGAGAAGGAAGAAAAAAAATTAAAAACCAGCCATAAATAATATGCTCATATTGCGGACTCTTCAATTAAAACTCATTAACATAATGGCCTAAAACAGCACTCGACTAACTGCTGCTGAATGTGACAAAAATAAAGCAATAACAGTGGCGGCGGCAGAAGGGGGTTAGAGGGGGTTACAGGGGGTTGAAGGGGCTCAAAGGGGGTTGTCTGCCTTCAAAGTGAATTTACTTGTCAGTGTCGACGCGTGTAATTTATGCAAATTTTATGCGCACACCACCAAAAAGCAAAGCACCAAAAAAAATAAAATAAATTTAACTACGGCCAGCGAAAAAAAACTGACAAAGACAGCGAAAAACAAGAAAATAAAAACATTAAACGCAACGCACGCAGAATTGTTTTTCTTGCTGTTTTTTTTTTTGTTTGTGGGTGGGGGGAGGTGGCGGGGTGTGTCGTTTTCATTTTAGTTTATGGCGACATAATTAAAATTTATACGACTTACAGCCCGCATTACAGCGAACGAATGGAGAACACCCCTTTTTTTTGTTTGTAGGCCATTACAGTACAGTGATAACACGGCGATGTCATCGATCAAGCTTTATTTCCCATATCTTATCACATATTTGGTAATACCAAGTAATCGAATGTTTAGTGCAACAAATCTATTACAGTGATCACTGGCTATATGTTTGATGTTTGACCTTAAAACCTCAACATAAATTAAAATATTTTTGTAAATGTATAACTAAAATAAAAGTAGAATAGGTATTCATTTAAAAAATTGTTTTTTTATTAAAACAAATCTGTTAAATTTTTTTAAAATATTGTTATAAAAATTTAAACATATTTTAGGTAAACTATTATTATTTATGCATATGTTGTTTTTATGACTTAAGACTTTTGCTTGCTTCAATATGTTTGTCTTGGCCAGGTCCCACTGTACTCAAATGAGTGGCAACCAAAATTATGTCAAATTATGACCCGAAATTGGGAAATCCTGAACCTTCTCATAATCGTTCGCTCTCTTTCTTGGGGCACGCCTCTCCCCGTCCCTTTCCCACCTGACACTTTTCGCCGTGTGTGGCCCCACACGTCAGTCCCTCTCTCCCCCTCTCTCTTTCTCTCTCTCGCACGATTCTTTCAAATCCGAATCCAAAGCCAGACAAAAACAACACTAAATTATGAGAGAGACTCCAATCCTCCTGTCTGCTGCTCATCTAAATACACAGAAAAAAATAAATTGTAGATTTTTTATTTATTGAACTTTATACTTTATAATATAGAAACTATTGATGTAATTTTACAATTTTAGCTATAATTGCTTACATTCCTTTTTATACACTGAAAACCCAAACTATTCTCGTTTTTGTTCAGTGTCTTACGGCTTGTCTTCCTCTTCATCTGTTGCTGTTTGTAATTTACCTGCCAGCGAATTGTTTTGTTTACCTATGCCGGCATTTCCCTCTTCACCGGCCATCGCTCACCTTTCCCCTGCTCCTTGTTCTTCGTTTTCTCACTCTCGTTCTCTACTCCTTTGCCTCCTCCTTTTCGAGCACTAAAAAAATATTTTGAAACTCCTTTTTCATTATATAAATAAATAAAGCCAGTTTTGGTTATTTATAATAATTTTGAAAATTTCTAAAAATGGAAATTCTTGGTCAAATATTTTTGCTCTTTGCAGTTTTAGAACTCTTTCACGTAGACCGATATTGGTTTTGTAATTAAAAAGCTGTCAATCATTTTAGTTTCTCGCATCCTTTAAAACATTTAGAAGTTTTATACAGTTTTTTTTTTAGAAATATCAACTTAATCATCACATCTTACCAGTTTTTCTATCTGAAGAAGTCCTTCTTCAGTTGCCTTCCACTTAGCGACCGCTATTAAACGTCATTGTCTCCAAGCCTTCTTCGCTTCTTCTTCAGATTCTTCTGGAAATATGGTTATATATATGTATGCGTGTATTTGTTTATGGTGCGGCTTCGTCTTTGTCATGAAAGGATAATAAAAAACGAAATTATGTTTAAATATGGCCATCCCCCGCTGTATCTCCATGCCCCCCTGCCCATCACTCTCTTTTGGGACATAGGCGTGTTAACATTTTTATTGTCGCCATGTCAGTTCCCATAAATGTGCCGCACAAGACCCGTATAAAGCGAGATATAGGACCGAACAAATGTACCTACATACTGACGGATACTCGACTTGTGTTTCCATATCCCAAGAAATCCTCAAAAAAAAACTTAAGTTGGAGTTTTTTAAATACAAAATTTTAGGGCTAACAAAAAAGCTTACAAAAAACGTAGCTAAAAAAAACAAAAACTATCTACCAAAATTCCTCTTTAGATGATTATTAGCAACAGGTTGTGATCGATTAATTGACTTCGATTAAGAGAAGCACACTCTAATCTCTTGTCTTCCGTATTCACTGTTTAAGGTCCATATCGCAAACAGTTAGAAATTAATTGGATTGCTTCCATTAACCGGCAAGCGATATTTATCGTACGGTTTATCGAATTAATCAAGCTTCCCCTACTCTCTATTTTTCCCCCCTTTTTCCAAAACTCTTGATCTTTGCTAGGCCTGCAGCAACAACAATTTGTTTACCAACAATTTATGAGCGGAGCAAGAAAAAAGTCAAAAAGAGGGAGGCGAAGAAGTACAGTCAAACTACATTAAAACAAATTTTATGATAGTTGAAAAATTTCCTTAAAAAATATATTATTTTTTTGCCCAAATTTAATAGTGCTTTAGAACTAGTTTAATTTATTTAATTTGTTAAATACATAAGCAAAGAAAGCGCAATAAATGGCTTTAGTAGAAGCTAGGGAGTTATAACTGTAAAGTTATAGTCAAGCCTGGAGCTGCGCATGCGCATTTGCCAGAGACAAATTTTCGAACGCTGATCCAAACGCTTGACCTTGCCATCAATTCTCATAATGGAAATGGCTCGCGAGTCGGGGGAAATGGAAATGAAACCGCTGGGCTGCTTTCCCAACAACAACAGCAACAATAACAACGAGAAAATCCAAATACAAAACGCGATAAGCTGCAAAGCCGCGGGCCAATTTGTGCTACTTGGGTTACGTTGATGGTTAAAGGGGCTATGGATCCCACAATTGCACTGAGAAAAAATATCTCAATAAATTAACTTTAATTGGTGTTAAAAATTAAATTAGAGATTTGTCAATAAACTGAGAAAAATAGAGACCATTTCCGAACTAAAAAAAATGGCGCCATAAAATGATGCCCCACGTTGGGCGCCAATTTATTTTCTTAACTTTGCAGCTTAGTTAAACTTCTTTCCCTGTGCAGATGGGCGAATGTATCGATGGTGGGTTGGTGGTTTGGTTCGATGGGTAGCTGAGTATCTGGGTAGGCGGTTAAGCGGGCTACCGCGGCAATTTATCGCTCCAGTGGTCACACACATACCATTCGGAACCATATGTAGATCAGCGAGATATGTGATATATATGTGAATATGCGAGCAAACATCTGCATCTGTGTTGACCCACAATTAATCAGAGCCGCACAGCTGCGGACAACGCACGAATTTTGGGCAGAGTTATCAGTTAGCACTAGGCCCATCGGGGCTGCATTTCCTGTATCAATTTTCCCATTCGGTTGGCCAAATTAACGAGCCGTGAGCGATGACCCAATCGAATTTGGAACGAGGTTGGCCCGACCAAATGCGCGGTTTGCTCATTTTCCCAGAGTGCTTTTTTGGGCCTTACCCCATTTTAATTTCAGCTTAATTTAAGTATTTGTATGAATGAAACAATAAGTATGTAAGCTAGTTTGAGTAATAACAATTACACTGTGCAGCATTTTTAGTGCTTTTTAAATTTACCTCGATGGATGCTATATTTTTGGATTCGTTACGAATTCCCAAGTTAAACTGCGTTTTCCAAAAAGTTCCCCGACGCAAGGATTCTTAGCAAAAGGACCTCAAAGTTCGAAAAATGCTGAAATTGGCCAACTTTGCGGAGCTCTCAGAGGCAAATGGATGCATTGTTTGAATCGATGTTAAAGTTTTTTAAAAGATACACCCTTTATCTTTTAAACCCCATACTAAAAAAATTTTTAAGATTTTTTTTAAGGCAAAAACAAATTCTAGAAAACATAGTCAAAAAACATAAAAGTATACAGCAGCGGTCAAAATGGTAGTAGTGTTGCCGCCCTGTGTATTTAAAAGTTTGTTGTTGTAATTGATCTTTTCCTGGTAATATTGTATTGATTATAATTTTACTATTAGACTAATTGGATAAGAAAAATTATAACATCAAACTTTTAAAAACACAAGGCGGCAACACTGCTACTATTTTGACCGCAGCTGTATGTTTTTCAGTTTTTTGACTATGTTTTTTGGAATTTATTTCTGCCTTAAAAAAATCCTAAAATTATTTTATGTATGGGGTTTGAAAGATAAAGGGT